CAAATGGGCTTGAAAAAGTATTACATGTTATGAAAAGGCAAAGCATTGCAAGATAATATAAAGCCAATAATGAAATATTGTTGGCACCTCCTTTTAGGTCATGCTCCTTGCCCTAACTCCTCAGCACTCAGAGTACTGGACTGTAGCTTTTGAAACTTATCCTAGTTAAAAAAAAAACAGTTTTGTTTCTTTAGGATCCTGCTTTTCAAGGATAGATACTTTGACAAGATTCAGTATCCTAAGGAATGTATGAATTCTTTCTCAGGTAATGGTTTCATTTTAACTGGAACTTTCCATCTATAACAACCTAAACTAGTGTTTCTCAAAGTGTGGTCCTGAGACCAACATTGCAGCGTTACCTTGGGATTTATTAGAAATGTAAATTTGTGTGGTCATCCCAGACCCAATATACACTCAAGTTGGAGATCCGCAGCTTTAGCTCACTGGAGAAAAAGGAAAACTGGGAATTGGGCACTGGGAATGCCATGAGAAGCCTTCTTTATCTGAAGGAGACAGGAGGCAGCCTGTTGGGTTTTTCAAATCACACTGTACTAGTATAACTGGCTATTCAGATGAGGGCCCAAAGCGACATGCTGAACCATGATAAGTGTACTTTTCCACTTCACAAGAGATGTGTGACCTCCATATGTACCATATGTGCACATTTACACACATGCATGCATAGAATGATGACTTGGTACACACTTTTCTCAGGTCTTTTTCCCAACCACCTACTAAAAATTCATCCTGATCTTGTGACACAGTCTACCTTCCTTAGTTTTCCTTGTAGCACTTATCAGTTAATATGCTGTGTTATTTTCTTATTGATTTTATTCCTCTCTCTCCCAGCTAGAAGATGCCCTCCATGAGGGCAGTATGTTGGGTTCACTGCTGCACCCCCAGCTCTGAGAACTGTGCCTGACACCCAGTAGGTACTCAAAAAGGATTTGTTGAATTAGTAAGTGATTGACTGCTGAATCTGGGAGACAGGGAAACATCGGGGTCAGACTGAAAGTGTCTCTACATCCCCCTCGTAGGCAATGTTGTCCAGCACAACAGCATTCCCCCTCTCTCTTCCTGTTCTGGGCCCTGAGACAGCTCTGCCAACAAGGTGTTGGTCAGTGCCATCCACAGGGCTTTAGTTCACTATCCAGTTTGATTAGCCTTTCAGAATGTATCCTCTGGTTTCTCTGGGAATGGGAATGGTATCCTGACTGATCAATGTGTTTATGTGGCTGGCTGGAGTTAAGGGGAGCTGGTGCATATGTGACAGAACAGAGTGCAATGTGTAGGGGGAAAAGTTGGCTAAGAATTAAAATCAGGAGCTCTTAGTTCTCATCCTTTTTTGCCCCTAATTTGCTCTATGGTCTTGGCCCAAACAGCACTTCTGGGTCTGTTTCATCTGTTGATCTCAAGGTCTTCAAGGTCTCTTCTAATTGTAATTATATATACCTCCATGTGTTACTTGATTAATGTCTATCTCCTGTGCACTGGTAAGCTTCATGAGAACAGGGAAATTTGCTCACCTATTTCATGATGCCCAGCACTTGGAGGCATTTGATAAATATTTGCTGAGTAGACAAATCCCTATGACAAGCAAAGGGTGATTTTAGCCTCATCAGTCTATACTCCATGCAGCCAAATCACAGGCACAGGGATGTGGGTTGCAAAGACCCTGGCCTGGGAGGGCTCTCCCATCGCATAGGAAGGGCAGCATGCCAGTCTGTACCCCATAGGCACACAGCAGCCGCCCACTTCACTGGTCTGAACAAGTCTGGGGGTGTGAAAGAGAGATGGCCCAGGTGGGGCACCTGGGCCACCAACTCTGCAGTTTAGAAAAGCAATCCCTGAATTTGATAGCAGATCTGTCATTTCCCAGCTATATGGGTTTATACGAGTTATGTTCATATGAGTCTGTTCATTTGGAAAATGAAGACAGCAACGTCTGCCTCTCAGAATGATTGTGAAAACTGGAGTAAATCAAGGGCCATCCCAGTATCTGGTGTAAGGCAGGAAACCTTGTCTGGGTCTGCCGTCCTCCTGCTTATGTAGTCTTTAAGCCATGAGGTCACACACACCGCCTCCTTTCTCAAAGAATGCTTGTTATCAGCTCCCCGAAGTTCCCTAGCTAACCTTGGCTGAAGGGAGATACAGATTGGGATAAAAACTCTTTCTCAAAATATCTACCTTTGGATGTATATGTTTGCCTATTTAGATTTGTAGCTTGCTATGGCTTGACAGCAAAATGCACAATTTTGAAAATAAAATTTGGTAATTCATTATCATTCGAACATGCTGAGGCCTGTCGCTGAACAGGATGAGTCTGAATTTTTGCTGTATCCCTTTTTGGCCACCTTGGTCTCTCTCTCCACCTTGCCTCTCACTCTGTTCCCTGGTAGAGTGAATTATAGTCCTGTTCCTGTCCTGCCCCTCTGCCCTGCCCCCACTCATCTACGTCTGATCATCTTTATTCTGGAAAATAAATTCTGTTGCCAGGTAACCAGAAGACAAAACTGCTGTGGTTGACATGATTCTTATCAGTGACTGCAAGTGCAGTGGTGCCCCCACCACGCTGGACACGCGCTCATTGCATCTGTCCCCAGCTTGACAGATCTTTCCGGAAAGTGGGATGGGTGGATGGCTGGAGAGAGTTAAGGGCCTCAGCATTCAACGGAAAGTATTTATAAATCACTGTATATCAACAGCCTGCTTTAGAATCATTTTATTAGAACACATTCAAGAAAGTGACATATGGGAAAAAGACAGCAGCAATTCTCAGTCATGCAAATGCCCATGTTAAAGTTCTCCATTGGATTTAAGTTCAAGTACAAAGACAGTCCTTTCCTGAGCCAGGTGCAATTCCAGAGAATGACACTTTGCATTCAGAGCACGAATCCTTCGCAAAGTTCAGAACACTGAACAAATCACATCCTCACAATGAGATTGTGAGGTACACGGGAGAGTAAACTTTTAAGGAGCCCTCGCCCAGCCCTCCCCCAAACCCAGTGAGGGAAGTAAGCCCAACTTTAGGACTTCTTAGAAATCAGATTTAGTCTACTGAAAATAGAGCAGTGGGCTTTAAAAAAAAGTTAGAAAATAAGTGTATCTATGAAATGGAACCACCTCTGCCTTTTGCCTTGGTGTGGTGTGGGGTTTCCATGAAATTCTGTGTTAGGGGTTGGGACTCTCTCTTGAATGTCTTAGAAGCTGGCGGACTTTAAAAATATTTTTTATTATGAAAAATGGCAAACTTAACAAAAGTGGAGAGAATGGTAGAATGAACAACCAGTACCCATTATGTAGTTTCAACAATGATTAACATGTGGCCAGTCTGTTTGTGTCTTCTCATACTTCACACTGACCCCCCAACAGGTTCATTTGAAGCAAATGGAGGCTGGGAGGGTGGTCTTTGAACCAGAGGCCTCAGGAGGGAGTGAGGTTAGGAGGGAGTTAGAAAAACATGATAAAACCTGGGTAGGTTAAAGCAAGTAGAACGTGTGTTGGGGATGTGGGCAAGGCTAGAGTTAGCCATCTTCTTCTCTACCATACACCATCTCTTCTTCCTCCCTCTTTCCCCTGATGTGGGGGAGGCAAGCCAGAGATGAATGATAGGTTTTGGGGGTTGTGCAAATGGAAATGTTCAACCTGGACAAAAACTCCAGAGACAAGCATGACCCTCTAACTAATCTGTCCACTCTTGGTGCAGACTTCTAGGGCATGGAGCGTACCTGGTGTTTAGACTGGTAGCTGGGGAAAGTACATTGGGCCATGGAGCCTCTCTCAGGTTCCTACTGCCCTACCATTTTAGACTTCGGAGAGAAGCTCAGCAACCTCGAATTGCACCCAGTAGAGAAGCAGGGAACCCCGAGGGGTGAGCCCATGGCCCAGGTGGGCAGATTTTGCTTGGAACATGGTGCCCCTCTGATCAAAGGCTGTACCCCACACCAGCCCTGCCAGAGCGATTTCAAGAGAGGTGGGTGATTGGAGTCCTGGTGGGAGGTCCCAACGGCGCCACGGCTAACCCGGTGAGCTGCAGGGACAAGTCCCAGGCTGCGCGCTAAACGTAAGTGGAGAAAGGATCTCCAGGTCCCAGGTGCCACCGAGGAACAAGGTTGCCATCCTGTTAAGAAAAGGGCTGGGCTCTGTGATTTGCATATGACTTTGCAAAAATCTGCATGAGATCCCATAGCCCTTTATAGAAAACAGAGTTAAATCATCAGTGCAACCTACTGTATTTCTAGTAACACAATGCACAGAGTGCAGCCTAACAAGCACACAATCCTTTCTGAAGAGGTGGGAGAAGATGAGTGCTGTTTCAGACATTCCTTGGTCTGAAGTTTCATAGGAAGCCAACCAGGTCCAGGATCCAGGTGAGGATCACTGATCGGCGTTTTCTAACTTTGTCAGAATTCAAGTCTATATGCTTCTACCCTATTAGCCCCCTGCAGACTAGTCCTGCAGTGGCTTCCCAGTGTTCCAGACACATAAGGAGGAGTAGAGCCAGGAATAATATAAATAGGGATGCATTTAGTATGAGGTCCTGGGGCAGCATTTGGCTTAGCAGTTAAGTTGCCAGTTAAGATGCCCTCATCCCACATTGGAGCACCTGGATTAAACACCTGCCTTTGGATCCTGACTCCAGCTTCCTGCTAATGCAGACTCTAGGAGGCAGTGGTGATGGCTCAAGTAATTGGATTCCTGCCACCCATGTGGGAGACCTGGATTGAGTTCCTGGCTCCTGGTTTTGGCCTGGCCCAGTATTGGCTGTCTGGGTATCTGGGGAGTGAACCAGCAAATGGGAGCATGCTCTCTCTCTCCCTGCCTCATTAGTAATACATACATACATAAACAAACAGAATAAGGCCCCAGTGACAGTGATCATTTATCTCATACCCTTTCTGTTTTGTTTTCTGGCTTAAACTCTTTCACGGTCCCTATGCCTTACCAACAAGTCTGGCCATAATAATTCAATTGGGGAAAAGAAACTGAGAAAAGTTTACCCATTTATGTAGTTGATCTTTGGCAGTAATGGACTTAAAATTCGTGATTTCAAGTGTTTCCACGATCGATGACATGTGGCAATCTGTAATTTTTCCAGACATGCGGTTGATTCGGGCAGACTGCAAGGCTGGCTGAGGGAGTGAATTAGCGAGTGAGCAAGAGAGCGAGCCATGCCAGAGACCCAGCTTCCACATTCCAGTGTGGCTCATCCCATTTCTGTTGGGCCATCCAGAATAACAAATCACAGTTTTGTTAACAAAAATGGTCCCCCAAAGAAGGTCAACTTTTAGTGCTATTGCAGGAGTGAGATATTCTAAATAGCGCAAGTGTTCTTGGCCAAGAGGAGAGCTCAGAGTTAAAGGAGAATGACCTCGCATTTGACTGGCTCAGCTCCAGCATACTTGCCATATCTCTTAGTAAGAACTGCAGCCTGGCACACACTGTTCACTAGGTGGAGAAAACAGACTTCAGCATTAAGCTGAAATGTAGTTACCCTGAGCTGCAAGGAAGACAGGGGATACTTAGGATTCATAAAGGAGATGAAATTCTGAAGAAAGTCAGGTGTTGGGCACGTGCATTTGTGAAGTAACTCACAGTGAAGGCACTGGTGTGTCCAATGAGCTCGCCTTTGTTAGGTACAAGGGTTCAAGAAGTTTAAATCTCATTTTTATTTTCATAGAATCACAGTAATGGGAGATAGCATCACCTATCTGGATTAGCTAGTCCCCACACCATAATTCAATATCATTGCTTATTTTTTTATAGATATGCTATACGGTGTATAGAATTTATTTTACTGGCAGAATATAATAGTGTTATAAATGCTGAATTTGACACCCTGTTCTTTATACAGTCATTAAGACTCTGAAGGGGAGAACAGTTTTAAAAATATTGTTATTCATTCTTCACAGCTGGTATCGACTGAGTGCCTGCCTCATGCCAGGCAGGATGCTGAGTGTTCTACACTCACTGTTTCAGGTCATCTCATCTCAACCTTCGGGAGTGGGCAATGCCATCAACTTCATTTTGCAGACTGAGGTCTAGGGATGTCCTGCCCAGGACCATATGAGGGGTCTTCAAAAATTTTTTTTTTTTTTTTGACAGACAGAGTGGACAGTGAGAGAGAGAGACACAGAGAGAAAGGTCTTCCTTTGCCGTTGGTTCACCCTCCAATGGCCGCCGCGGTCGGCGCGCTGCGGCCGGCGCACCGCGCTGATCCGATGGCAGGAGCCAGGAGCCAGGTGCTTTTCCTGGTCTCCCATGGGGTGCAGGGCCCAAGCACCTAGGCCATCCTCCACTGCATTCCCTGGCCACAGCAGAGAGCTGGCCTGGAAGAGGGGCAACCGGGACAGAATCCGGCGCCCCGACCGGGACTAGAACCCGGTGTGCCGGCGCCGCTAGGCGGAGGATTAGCCTAGTGAGCCGCGGCGCCGGCCTCTTCAAAAATTTCATGGACAATTCATACTGTAAAAAAAAACTTGGATTTCATGTTTTGAACCAAAATAAATTTATCTTTTCATTTTTCTACAGACTTTTTGAAGTCCCCTTATACAACTGGCAAGTGGAGGGGTGAGATCTGAACCAAGGTTTGACATGCTTCTCTTCACCATGGGTATGTGCTGCTTCTTAAGGAGAACCCACCTGCTACCTGGTATTTGTGCATTATGTGCTTGTTGATTCCCAAGGGCTTAGAAAGTGCCCCTTGCTTAAGAATCTATCATACCTTTAGGACCTAACTTGAGATGGTTTGGGTTACCTCACTATATGTGTCATTTAGATTTTACAGAACATTTCTTATGCCCTTTTAAACTTCAAGTTGTAATTGTGTCTGTGCACCTGCAAATCTGTCTGTTGATGGTCTGATGTGGGATGCACCATTGAAGGTAAACTGAATATTTGTTCCTCAAAATCCCCCAAAAATACATGTACATCAATGCAGGGAGCCATTATTTTATATAGTCCACCAGACACCTTAAAAAAGTAGTTAGTACCAATGCAAACCTTTTAACTTTAAAAATGGCAGCCATTCATGACCTCACTGAGATTTTTTTTTTTTTTCTCAAAATCTCACCTAGGGCAAAGACTAGTGGGTAAACTTAAATGGAAGTGTGAACAAGAACTTAGTGCTTTTTTTTTTTTTTTTAAAGAAATGCTAAAGATCCTTCTTATTTGGGAAATAGTGCACAGCTTAGAATTCACACACACATTCCAAAGCCAATGCCTTTGGCTTTTTGACTACATAGGTCAGCACAGGGCTTGGGATCAGTTTTTTGAAATATTTCCCTGGTAATCCTAAGGGTAATCTGGTTTGGAATTACTGTGCCTAATTCAGGAATTAAACTTTATCACAAGGAGGTCACCTGGTCCAAAGTTCAGGCTTCTTCTAAGCCTCAGTAACTTCATTGCTGGAAAACCTGAGTTATGCAGTATTTCAACTGCATTTTCACTTCCAGGAACACTTTGACATCTTCCACAAGGGCTAAGAATTAGTGAGATCACTTTAAGAGACAGTGACTTTTATTAAACAGATCTCCTGAGCATTTCTTTTTCACTTTTTTGGTGGAGTATATTGAAATTTCCCCATCTCCCCTCATTCAGATATAGAACTCTTCCTATGAACTTTTTATTTGCCATACTAGAAGTCCCATGCTAACACTAATTCTCACAATAAGAGCTTTCTAAGCTGTTGTGTGATGTTCTAAAATCACCAGGTGCACAGGACACAGGAGATAGCGCTTGACATCAGTGAGATAAAAATTAGCTACAAATGGGCAACGTGTTTCCTGTATGATAGATGTATATCCTTTCTTGTTCCACAAAGAATGTGAAACAGCTATTTTGCAACGGATTTTTAAAGGCCTCTTCAGTTGACTGTGTATGTTCCCAGAGCTGTGTCTGATGCATTAGGAAGCTACTGGGGCAGGGAGGTGCCTGACTGCCACTGCTGTGGCTGAGACCTAACAAACAGCTTCCTTTATAATCCTGACTCATCCATGCTCTGGTAGGCATAGAAGATGATGAGCCACTGACACAAACAATACATGGAACACGGGATGTTCTTGGTTGTTAATTCGGGCATGTTTCAAACAGTTGATCAGGAGGCATAAATGATAGAATTTGCACTATTTGGAGCAAAATGTTGTTTTCTGTGTTTCTGTCTGAATCATCCAGTAACTTCCTTTCTTGGATTTGCCAGTGGAAGAGAGTGTGCACATTACATATTAGAACGACCTGGGTTCACACCTCAGCTCTACCACCTTCTGGTTATGTGACCTGGGTAAGTTAACCTGTTTGAGTGGCCGTCTCCTTATCTGCAAAATGAGGATGATGATACCCTTGAAGAATTGTGACAATCAGAGGACAGTTTAGGAGTTCAGCAAGAAAGGCAGCTGTGACGGTCAGTTGCTGGGCCTCTGCCTTTCTTGCAGGCAGCCCTGTGCTCTCCTCTGCCTGCCCAGTGACAGCAATGCCTTCTGAAGAAAGGATTTTGTCTCTGCCATTACATGGGTGGTGGCTGGGGGGGGAGGGGTGGTGGCGTTGTGTCCTTGTGGGGACTTTAAGTGCTCTGCGTTCTTCTATTACACACAGGAGCTCTGCAAATATGTTATTAACTGGTTTCAAAGAGCCTTTCTCCAGCTCAGATGGGACATTTTCCTTGATGTAGCCATCAGAATTAAAAACTGAGATACACAGCTGTAGAATACTGAATACTGCACAGAGAGAAGACACACACACACACACACACACACACACAATGCACCAAGAAACATATTTTCACGGTAGCTTTATTCAGGATGGATTTTTGTGACCTTCCTGTTTGCTCCCTCATGCTGCCTACGCTGCCTGAAGTTCTCATTTTAGAGCTGGATACCTGTGCTCACTGCTCACAGGAATCCTGGGCTCTTCACCCCACGCACTGTGAGGAGCTCCCTGACAAGGAACAGCTGTCTGGGCAGCCTGGCAATGAGCAGGAGGCCTCAGGAGGGGAGAGGGGAGTTGTTTCTCCATGACGCGGGCTCTGGAGTGACAGGCCAGGAGCTGCAGCCCCCAGCACACCCCTTCACAGAGATCAGCCAAGTGGGCGATGCTTAGTCTCCCTGCCTCTTGCCCTCTGTGCAGGTGGCCCTCTGAAGGAACACCGGGCCTAGGCAGTGTGGGAGAGATGGCCTTGGAAACACCTGTTGCATGTTCTTTTGTTCTTGTTGTTCCATGTGCAAAAATGGTTCTAGAAAGATCCTCTTTACCAGAAAAAAGAGTTCCTTCTGTCTTCAAATCCCGAGGGAGGCCATCAGGGGAGCTGCCTTGATTTGCTGGTGAGCCTCCCCAGTTTGGAGTTTGCTGCCCCCGCAGTAGCAACTGATTCTCTAACAACTGTTCTCCGTGTCCTCCTGACCTGGGTTCCCGCGTCTCATGCTGAGTCACCCTGGGAAGCCCTCACTGGGAAATCCCAGGGCTGTGAATAGGACTGCCTTCTCTCTCCCTCTGTGAATATCTTTGGGAAACTGCTTCGTGAACCTGGAAGGCCAGTGGTGCCCATTCTCTGCAGTTTTCTTTTCCTTACTTTGAGTTATCTGTGGTCCACCACAGTCCAAAGATCAATTTGTCTTGACTGTTTTGAAAGAGAGGGACCACATTCATAACATCAGTTATGATATATTGTTGCAATTGTTGTGTTTGATAGTTATTACTATCTCACTGTGCCTAATACATCACAGGGGGGTATATATAGGAAAAATGTGGTACATACGGGGGCTATGCTATCTGTACTGTCAGGCCTCCCCTGGGAGCCTTGGGCTGTATCTGCCATGGGTAAGGGGGGACTATTTTCCCCACCTTTCCCATGCATCTCTAAAGATCTGAGTTTGGGGGAAAGCCCTGAAAAGTATGTTGGCCTTCTCCCACCCCATCACCCCACCAGCTGGGTATTCCTTCTCTTTTCTGTCACAGTCCAAGGTTCCTAACCTCACAACCCAAAACTATTGTCAGTTTTTCAGCTTACGACCTTGGCCCATTCTGCAAGTCAGCCCAAGTTCACTCAGTGGCTGTTTCCTAGAATATTAAGATATAGAGAAGTGGGTCACCCTGTTCCCTTCTAGGCACCTGCTTGCCCCCTCAAGCTCAGTGTAAAAATACAATGGACCTTAGCAGCAATCTAACAATCTTGTTTTTCTTTGTACTTAAAAAAATAACCACCATTAGGAGTTTTTGTTAGTGAAAGAGTCTTATATCTTATTGTAGACAAATGAAAAGCCATCGTCCAGAAATAACCATCATTTATAATTGGTATATTTCTTTCATATATACATATATGCATATATACATGCACACACATATATGTATATAGGCAAACATAAAGACAAATACACACATGTACACAAATACATGTTCTCATTTAATATTTAACAGTAAAATTGGTCCTTCAAATTGAGAGAAGAAAAAGAAGACCCCAAGTAGGTGGGAAAGCACAGTACCCACAGCTCAGGGAAGCCATCACCCGTGCCAGCCACAGTCATGAGCTTTTGCAGCACACATGACTTACTAGTTTACAAATGTCACAGGCCTGATGGCCAGGGAGAGTCCAGCCACCCCTGCCTCACAGAGGAATAATTCTTAGTGAGTATATGGGAAAGGCATTTGAGGACACACACCAATTCATAACTATATACAAACAGAAGAGATACACATAAATCATCTGAACAATTTTCAAGCACTTTCTGTTAATGCGAAACTCTGCCTCAATGTGTTGCAGGTAATACAAGGTATCAAATACAAATATCGGCTTCACAGAGCATATGATTCATTGCTGAAACAAAGACCAACCCATGGGAAACAAGAGCAAACTGTTAGAAGATATTGACTTACAAAGTGCTGAGGGAGGGGATGGCAGCGACCACTGTAATAATGAAGCAGATGTGTTCCAAAAACACCCTCCCTGAGGTCAGAAACTTCTTTATTAGGATTGAGAAATAATTTGGAAAGACAGTCTTGCAGTACAGGTTGCTAGACACAGGGGATTATGACCTGAAAGATCTTAATCTTCTAGAGAAGATAATTGCAGATGTACCAGAAAACATAAGAAAGGAAAGGACCCACGAGACGGGCAGGGCCAGAAAGAAATGCCCTGCATTGCAGGAGGCTCCATGTCCTAAAAAATTTTGTTGTGGCTTGGAGGAGATAGTTCTCCTCCTGACCCTCCCAGGGACAGACGTTGTATTTTATCTGGAAGGGGTGAGGACAGGGATGAAGGAGAGTCATGATGGCTTTAAGGTGAATTGTGGATGGAGGTCTCAGGGGAGGAGCAGATCAGTGAGAAGGCAGATGAAGAGTTTAGTCCCAGTTTTATATATTCACTTCAAAGGCAGAGTTATGGAGTAAGGGTAGGGGGAATCTTCTATCCACTGGTTCATTCCCTAAATGGCCACAGTGATCTGGCCTGGGACCAAAGCCAGGAGCCTGGAACTCCATCCAGGTCTCCCATGTGGATGGTAGGAGCCCAAGCACTCAGGCCATCTTCTGCCAATTTTTCAGGTGCACTAGCCAGAGTTGAATCAGAAGTGGGATAGCCAGGGCTTGAACCAGCACTCAAATGGGATGCTAGCATTGCAGGTGGTGGCTTAACCCACTGTGCTATGACCTTGGTGCCACAGTCTTAGTTACATTGAGTAGAGTGCACTCAGGGTAGTTATGACATGCATAGTTAGAAATACAGTGCTGGATCTCAAGTGAAAGATTAGGGCTAGGAACAGAGACTATTCAACCCATTGTTAAGAGCCTAGGCTTACCCTTTCCATCATCTCCAAGCCTGCGGAGGCTTGCTGGGAAGAGGACTTTTAAATGGCAACTGTGTTTGGAAGACTGTGGTGCAAGGCCATTTTTGCTGGCTATAAGCGAGGTCTCCGGAACCAAAGAGAACACACTGTGCTTCTTAAAATTGAACGTGTTTATGCTCAGGATGAAATTGAGTTCTACTTGGGCAAGAGGTGTGCTTGTGGGTACAAAGCAAAGAACAACACAGTGACTCCTGGCAGTAGACCTAACATAACCAGAGTAATCTGGGGAAAGGTAACTCATGCTCATGGAAACAGTGGCATGGTTCATGCCAAATTCCAAAGCAACCTTCCTGCGAAGGCCACTGGACACAGAATCCATATGATGCTGTACTCCTCAGGATTTAAACTATTGAAAAGTAAATAAAAATGGATTTGTTTTCTTGCCAAAAAAAGCATAGGTTTATGATAAACAGTATGGCAAATAAAACATAAATCACAAAAATGCCCTGAATATTAAAGAATGTCTTCGAGACAGGCATTTGGCTTATCAGCTAAGTTGCTGGTTAAGACGTCCATGTCCCATATCAGAGTATCCAGGTTCAGTACCCAGCTCTGGCTCCTGACACCAGCTTCCTGCAAATGCAGACTCTGGGAGGCAGTGGTGATGGCTCAAGTAATTGCATCCCTGCTATCTCCATGGGAGACGTAGACTGAGTTTCTGACTCTCAGCTTTGGTCTGGCCCAACCCGGCCCCAACCATTGCAGGTATCTGGGGAGTGAGTCAGCAGGTGGAAGTGTCCTCTCTCGCTCTCTGTTTGTCTGTCTCTGCCTCTCAAATAAATAAATAAAAATTTGAAAAAGAATATCTTTGATTTTAAAGAAGAGAAGGGCAACATTGGTTTAGGTGGTACCCTCTATTGGGTAGAGGGCATTGATTAACATGGAGAAGCAGTCAGTATTTGCAGAAGTAAAAATTTCCAGGAATGAAGGACGTGTGAGTGAGGCTGGCAGTGAAGGTGGACTGGATATGACTGGGCAAAGTCAATATAGGTCTTACGGGAGATGGAGGCAGCAAAAACAAAGCACCACATTGGGGCAGTCAATAGCACCCTTTAATCTGTCTCAGATGCAACGGGAGACTGTGAAGAAGCAGACATCATTAAGACCAACAAGTGGGGCTGGAGTTGCAACACAGTGGGTTAAGTTGCCACCTGTGATACTGGCATCCCATATCTGAGCCCTGGTTTGAGTCCCGGCTGCACCATTTGGGTCCTGCTCCCTGGTAATGCTTCTAGGAAAGCTGCAAAAGATGACCCAAGTGCTTGGGTCTCTGCCACTCACATAGGAGACCTGAGTGGAGATTTAGGCTCCTGGCTTCAGCCTGGCCAAGTCCTGGCTATTGTGGCCATTTGGGGAGTGAACCAGTAGATGGAAGATCTCTCTCTCTTTATCACTCTGCCTTTCAAATAAATAAAATAAATATTTAAAAAAGACTGTGCCTTTCTAGGAACCTATGATGTAACACAGGAAAAGACAAACAGGCAACCAGTTGATTGGTAAATGCAATTAGATTGAAATGTATAAACTGTGAACTTCAACCACTTTAGACCCACAGAAGTGGCAGTTTCATATGATTCAATCTAAACTAGGTGCATTAAAGTGTGTGTAACAGATAAGGATCTCTTGGGGATGATTCATAGGAGGAAAAACTACATAAATGTCTTTGGAGTAAATGTGCTACTGAAGGTTTTTAACAAACAAGAGAGATACTGAAAAATGTGCTTTAGAAAGATGAACCTGATGTCAAGAGAAAAGACAAAATGCAGAGACAAAGTCCCAGAGAGCAGGGAGGCCTCTTTGAAGGATACTGAAAGAATTTAAGCAAAAGGTAACCAAGGGCTGGTGTTGTGGTGCAGTAGGTTAAGCCATCTCCTGTGATGCCAGCATCCCATACGGGCCCTGTTTGAGTCCTGGCTGCTCCCCTTCTGTTCCCTGCTAATGTGCCTGGGAAATCAGCAGAAGATGGCCAAGTGCTTGGGTCCCTGTCACCCACATGGGAGACCTGGAAGAAAATTCTGGCTTTGGCCAGGCCAAGCTTAGGATGTTGAGGCCATTTGGGGAGTGAACCAGGTGAGGGGAGATCTTCCTCCCTATAACGCTGCTTTTCAAATAAATAAATGCCTTTTAAAAAACAGGGTAACCAAAACCTGACAGGAGTAATGTGTCAGAAACTTGGAGGGAGTCACTCTCAGGTCCGGGTAACAGACTGGCTATCGAGGAACAGGCAGAAAGTGAGTACACATATACAGTCTGGGATCTGGGGAAGTGATGCTGCTCCTGCCCCAAACAGGGAAGTCAAATCAGGCTACTAGTTTGAGAGAAGAGGAAGTAGTTTTCTGGTGCTGAGATTGAGGAAGAGCAAGGCATCAAGTTGGAAGCCTCTAGCACAGCAATGCTCACTACGGCCGCCGTTTGCCCTTATATGTACTCGGGAGTCGTCAGCTTCCTCGGCAGAACAGTGTTCACAGGGCCGAGGAGTGGCCTGTTGTGTTTCATGGCTGCTTTTCCTTCCTAGAAACAGTAGCTGGTACACAGTAGGAACCCAGAAGAAATGTGGTAGATGAAAGAGTGAATGAGTATGAAAGCGCTGTTAAGAGAAAAGTCACTCAGAGATCCTTTCTTGGAATTTTTGATGCTGGACATCAGAATTGAAGCAACAGTAGTGGAAGGCCTAGTGGAAGAAGAACCAGCGGGAGGAGTTGAGGTTCAGTGGTCGCTGGGAGCACGACCCACTGAGTGTGAGATGGCAGAGGAACAGGGTGCTATGAGAAGAAGAGGTGCTGAATGGATACACTGCAGATTAGCACAAGATGGGTAGGCTGACATTCGGCTCTTTCTGAACCTTGACGAAGAATGAGAGGCTAAAAGGACAGTGATACAGCCAGGTAAAGACAGAAGTAATTCTGTAACCATCATGCTAAGAAAACACTCAGTGTTTCTCCACTGCTACTCAGCAAAGTCTGAATTCCTTTGAATGGTGTTTGGCATCTGCCATGCTGAGAGATGTTATGCTGACATCCGGCCCATGAACCCTTCCAGCCTTCTTTCTCACAGTCCACCTCACAGATCCTGAACTTCAACCAGGTTTACTTGGTCTCTGTGCCCCAAACTGATCCTGTACTGTACTTTCTCCCTTATCCTGACCCACCCTTAGCCTGTGTTTTATTTTTGTTGTTGTTTTCCCTCCTTCCTTATCTTGCTCTTTCTGTTTGACCCATTTGGAATGACCTCCCTCCCCACTCACAGCATTAATGCTGCCTAGAAGAATTCCATACATTTAACAAACTCTGATGCCAAGCTGACTCTGATATTCCCAAAGGAGAAACTTCGAGTTTTAAAATTCTATTTGGCCCCAATTTCTAGACTCTCTCTTTCCCACAATGTCAAACACATTACCTTGCATTTGCATATCTGTTCTTCATTTACTCATTGAACAAGCATTTACCAAGTCCCTTGTATGCATTAATAGTTTATCTCACTCAGTGATGTAGGCAGGGTAGAACACAGACATGTTTCCACCCCTGTGCACGTCAAGTGTGGTGGAGGAGGCGATTGTACAGCCATACTCATATAATTACGAATGGTGACAGGTACCAAGAAAAAATCGTACAAGCATAGAAAGAGAGATGTTGGGGCTTTAATTCCACTGTCAGCTTTCACTTTAATGTCTTCTCATAGCTTAGCCTCTGTGGCAATTAGCATGTCTATATACAAAGAACTTTGTCCTTTTCTAATTCTCTTGTGAGCTAAGTAGAGGGCCAGTGTCAAAGATTATATATAAAATTAAGACTTCAAGTGAGGGTGTTTGGCCTAGCAATTAAAATGCTACTTGGGACAACTGCATCCCATGTCAAAGTTCTGGGGTCAGGGCTGGCGCTGTGGCATAGCAGGTAAAGCCACTGCCTGCAGTGCTAGCATGCCATATGGGTGCCAGTTTGAGTCCTGGCTGCTCCACTTCTGATCCAGCTCTCTGCTATGGCCTGGGAAAGCAGTGGAAGATGGCCCAAGTCCTTGGGCCCCTGCACCCACATGGGAGACTCAGAGGAGGCTCCTGGCTCCTGGCTTTGGATTAGCTCAGCTCCGACTATTGCAGCCATTTGGGGAGTGAACCAGCAGATGGAAGACCTCTCTCTGTGTAACTCTGACTTTCAAGTAAATAAATAAATATTAAAAAAAAAAAAAAAAGGCTCCTGGGGTCAAGTTTAAGCTCTTCTCCCAATTCTAGCTTACTGATAATGTACACCCCGGGAAGCAGCAAGTACTTGGGTCCCTGCCAACCCTGTAGGGGACCCACAGGAATAGAATTCCTGGATCCCAGCATTAGCCTGACCCAGCTCTGACTACTGCAGGCATTTGGGAAGTAAACCAGTAGATAGGAGACCTCTCTGTCTTTCTGTTTCTCAAGTAAATAAAACATTTTAATAAAGATAAGTTTATTTTAAAAATTTAAATAAAATTAAGACTTAAGAGGTTTTCCTGTAAGCTGAGCTGTTTTGCATGTAAAGACTTCCTTCCTCAACCTGGGCCTGTTTATCAGACAGCTGGGTGCCAAGCCCATTTGCTGACATCTTTTTTTCTGACATATTTCATCATTTTAACTCTATTACCTGTCATATAATGGACAGTGTTAGATATAACAGACACATGGTTAAAATCCAAATAGTTCTTATTCTTTCAATAAAATAGAGGTATATTTAAAGATTGAACAAATCTAAATTCTGCATTAAATTTCAATGTTGGTACACTCTTCTGTGGAGAAATAAATGGTGAACTGTATTCTAAAATAGTAAATGTAAAAAATGCTTCATATGTCATATCACATGAGCCTCTAACTTACCCATGCATCACCTTCAAACTGTGACATGTTAATCAAAAGACAATAAAGAGAATGGAAAGACTAGCCACAGAGTGAGCACAGATATTATACGTTTAACTAACAAAGGATTAATATCCAGAACATATGAACTTTTAAAAGTGAAATAAAAATACCCATATAGCCCGTTAGATACATAAGTAAAAGGTCTGGACAAGAATGTTGCAAAACAGAAAATCCGTAAGATGAAAAGGCATTCAACCCCATTATAATCAGAGGAATGACAGCTGAAACCCTAAGCAAGGGTGGGCATTTGGTGGAGAGGATAAGATGCCACTTGAGATGACTGCATTCCATGTCAGAGTACCTGGGGTCAAGTTGTAGCCCTGCTCCTGATTCCAGCTTCCTTGGCATGGGCACCCTGGGAGCCAGATGATGGCTCAAGTACTTGTGTCCCTGCCACCCACATTGGAGACCTGGATTGAGTTTTCAGTTCACAGATTTGGCCTGGCCCAGCCCAGGCTACTGTGGGCATTTGAGGAGTAAATTAG